TTCGCCCGATTTTCGACCGTCAGCAGTCCAGTGTTTATCCGACACCATTTCCTTGCAAACTTGCCGATCGTTAGGCCAACACCCAATGAATCTCACGCGTCCATCAGATGACCGTTCGGTGACCGGTTGGTGACAGTGCCGGTTATATCAACCTTAGGCCGACCGTGCCGCCTTACCGGTCCTGTCAAACCAATCAGTCGAGCCACTGTCTGAGCAGTGACGTTTAGTGTCTCACACCAGCGATCTCCCGCCCGTTGATCCGGTTTACCGAGCCCGGATACCAGTGCCGCTTCCAGTACTGTTTCAAGAGTCCGGGACTCAGCACCGTCTCCGGGACACGACGCGACCGAGCGGCGCGACCAGCGTTGCATGACGCCGACTGTAACGGTGCTGCCCGGTCACCGGGCCGAGCCGAGAGCTGACTGAACGAGCCGAGCCGAGAGCTGACGGGCTGAGCCGGGCGGGTAGCTGACTGGCCGCGGGACGGGCTGAGAGCTGACGGACCGAGCCGTGAGCTAGCTGGCCTAGGCGAGAGCTAACTGGACGGGTCGGGACGAGCTGGAGCTGACGGACCGAGCCGTGAGCTAGCTGGCCTAGACGAGGGCTGACTAGCGGGCCGGGAGTGCTGAGGTCAGGGGATGGGACAGGAAAACTGGAGGCATGTGTATATGAGATTCAGCGTAAGAGGAGACCGGTCAAGCAGACAGCTGACTGGCCGGGTCGATATTTCTGAGGTGAGGAGATGGGATAGGAAATCTAGACGCATGGGCAATTGAGGAAGATGGTGATTGGTGACTGAGGGATGGCTCATGAACAGTAGTGTCATGTTAATTGTTCTCCCAATGGACAGGACACAACCATGGACCAGCCCCTTGCAGCCCCCAGCAAGTGTAAGTACAAACTTACTTCGAATCAGTTTGTCCCGACAGCGGACAAACACAGCCTCCATTGACCGGGCAGGTGTGTGCAGTGTGCACAGCTGACTGCCCGATACGTGAGACCCAATCAGGGAGCGGTGTATCGGCGCCGACAGTAGACACAGCTGACTGAGCCGGCGACGGCGCCGTGGACACAGCCGATCGGACTGGCGCCAGACACAGCTGATTACACGGCTCTGTCCCGGCCACCAGACAATGACCGACCTGGCACCCCCGCCAGACCGGAACGGCAGGCTCGCGAGGAAATAAACTCCTCCGTTCGGCACGGCCTGACCGAGAGCCGCGACTGGTTGACAAAATCGAGGCCGGTAGAGGATGTGAAATCTGGAGACACGACTGATTTTCCCAGAAGGAGGATTAATTCTCTGTCAGATAGCCGCTCAGTTTGTGACAGTCAGAGCTCAAACCGGCTCACACGTGTTCGGAGTATCGACCGGGCATCTGACGTCACCACACGACAAACTGGCGACCTTACGAGGTCGTGAAACAAGTTTTTTGCTCTGTCCGCGCCGTTCCCCGATTTCCGTTACAGACTCGGGTGTCATATCTGAGCCCGATCTCATGTCATCCCTGCCATTCGGAGCTACCTTCCGCACTGAAATGCACGCTGGAGAAAGAACATCTCCAGGTGTCAAGAGCAGCCGGTCACGAACTACGAGTGTCGTCAGGTCGATACACGGGAGGCAGCCGACCGACCGGTAGCAAAACGGTCGGATGTATCGGGAAATCGGGAACGGGTGGGCCAGCAGAGGACATTGACTCCGCCTTACAAGTCCCTTGGTTCAGACCAATGCAGCTGAAGAAGTTATTTGAATAACTAAGTAAAGATTAGAGGTAAAGGAGGCACTGAGCATCAATATCACGAGGACGAACTAAAGCCAGAGGGTGAAGGACTGTACCGGCCTTCCAGGATAGCCACATGGACACCATGTTGGCGCTTTTCTGTGGTCATGCAAGGTCAATGCATTGGCTTGAATTGCACGTAAGAACGATGTAGTGATTGTAAAATAAAATGTGGAGAGAATCAGAAGGTTATATGATTTAGATCGCATGGCAGTGTGAGGTAAGGCGGAAACATGAAGTCAGAAATTGTTTTCTATTTTTGCACTTGAAGACGGATATTAGTATAAATGCCAGTCAACAGCCAGCTTCGAATATCTACTTGTGTAACAGGTGCACGGCATGTTTCATTTCATGTGATGTGCATGGCCGATGCTCATTCTCCTCGTTATAATTGGCAGCTGCAATGCAATTGCATATTCTCTCGGTGCAACGAAACATGAATAAGTAGGTATTTTCTGTTTGTTCGCCCATGCTCCAGAAGCCATAGACCTATAAGATCCATTATTCATATGGAATTTTAAATTTGATGCTTGTGAACAAATCCTGTTAGCGTGTGTACCTAATTAGTCTTGCTCATTGAACAACACTATTATATGATATTATGGTTATCAGCATCTAGTATTTATGGGTTGACAAAACTCGATCTCTCACTACAATGATACAATCTCTTGTTTTTGGGTTTCGATTGAAATCGCCGATGCCTCGGTTACTTACCATCAGCAGATATAGTTAGTATCATTATTGCGTTTTGTAAGTAAGCAATCTTTCTGTATCACCATGTGGTAAAAACACGGACAACGAAAGATAAGACCGCAATCTTTGTCTGACGTGCGGAGACGACTACCTACACACAATAGGACCTCTCAACAAAGCACGAGACGAAAACACGTCAAGGCTGCTGCAGTGGCCACTTACGTAGAGCGAAGTTACAAACAACGACACAACCCCGTCCGATCGCTAATGGGGCATTCCACGTCAAATCGAACAAAAATCGGCTGTTTTGCACCTTACCATCAGCGATTTCATTATAAATTTGTGAGCGAGTTCCTGTGTGGCCCCGGACATTACATTGATATTTTTTGCACATTCTGACCACAGGTCTTCTAATATAGGGCATCAAATTTTACAAAATGTTGCATCTTTATATTTTGAACGACCATAACTTTGGTTGTACTGTTTGATTTGAATGAAATAAACCTTGTTTAGGTAATTCTTAAGCATTTGTTTAGATTGCCCTACTTAAATATATGACCTTGAAATGTGCTTAACTCTGTTCTAAGTACAAATATCGAAATAGCAAAAAACACGTCACCTTCGATTTGGCTCATTTTCATATATTTTATTGCCTACCATATTCTTAACAACCTATGAAAAAATTAGAGTGGGCCATTCATAAGTTTTGAAGAAAATTGCACATATGCAAACGTATGTTAGCACGCGCAGTGGAGGAGGAAGAGCGAATTTCGCCCACCCCTCCTGTTTTTCGCCAATATCTCATAAGATTAATGCGAAATTAATTATGGCTACCTATCAAGAATTGAATTGGACATCTCATCGTGCAAGCAATAAGAAAATCGGTTCACAACTGTTCTAGTAATAGCGGTGTAAAGTGAACATCCTGTCGCCGCAGCGACGCGGCGACTCGGCAGCCGGCGCCGACCGCTACGCGCCGCCTGAATTGTAGACTGTGCCGGGACGGAACGGAACGGTTCCGTCTTTATATCGCGCTCCCTACCGCTGATTACGTTCGATTCGCGTCCAAATTTGTGAGAAGACTAAGAAATGTACAGGCAATCTTATGGTGAAAGAAGTTTGAAAATCGGTTGGTAAACAATTGAAATATGAACGTGTAAACACAAAATTGTGATTGCTGCGTTTCCCGCATCGGCCGAGCCCGCCTTGCAGCCGGCGACATGTTACTCTTAGCAGGCCTTTAACTGCCAATTGCCATATTTATTATTGGATTTACTAGAAATTCCCCATACATACTAAAAAATGTATGTTCTTCGTATAGTGAAGATCAAAAGACGTGAAGATATCGTTGCGTGATAATGTTTTCGTTGAATTTACTTCATGATGCATTTCCACACGGCTCAAAATTCACCGCAAAATAGGTACCGTTTGCCTGAGACACTTTTACAATGGAACGTGAATGCTTGACTACGATGACTATGCATTTTCATGCTCGCAGAGTTTGGGATATCACTAATCAGCAATCATTCATTTCAGAAAGTGTACACAAGCAAGCATGTCTTGACTCTGTCTTTCAAGGTCACGCGCGGTTGCGTGATGTTGATGCATGAAAACGGCGTTTGCCGCGAAAGTTATGAATGGCCCACTCCAATTTTTTCACAGATGGTTAGGAACATTGTGACGGACATAATATGTAAAAATTAGCCAAATCGAAGGTGACGTGTTTTTTGCTATTTAAATTTTTCTGTTTTAATTCAAGGTCAAATGCATTTCAAGGTCACTTCAATTTAATTTTATAATAAAAATCGAAGCCTTATCAATTGCCTATAAGACCCTGTTAATATCATTTTGATACCAGAAAAGGAACCAGAGTTATAGCCGATTTAAAAAATTGATGTGTGGCATTTTTCGCTATATTCGATGACCTATATCTCAGCGATACGTTATCAAATTTCGAAAATATTATACGTAACTCAGTTTTGAACCATGCCCAGTCTGCCTACAAATTTTTCAGAAAAATCGAAGGGGATGACGGATTTCGGTGTTTGATTTGACGTGGAATGCCCCTAATGTCTTCTCGACTGGCCATCTGCCCCGAGCTGGGCACGTGCCCTTTGTCCGTCCACCTGCTGTATCGGCCGGTCACCGTCCCCTGTCCTATAGTCCCCCGTCCGGCCGACAGCCCACAGACAGGGCACTGGCCCGTCATTCATACACCAAATGCACATGCTGATGAGCTGCGTGGCGACTGGTGAGACGAGCGGTCGTGCGACGGGACAGCGTGTGCCTTCTGTTATGGAGAAGTGATGTTTGGGGAGGAGTTTTGCAAGTCGAATTTATCTCGCGGCCTCCACAAGGGCATGAGCGTGGAATTAGAAAGGACCGCAGACTGGGAACATGGAGCGCATCTTTGAGCATACCGCAAAACACACTTCGTCCACAATGCGTGGAAATCTTGACCACAGTTCAACAGTTAAAATGCAATAAGATGTTTTAATTTTAAGAAATGGCAAATTCTGTATTTACCTGTGAGACGTCGGGGATGCTGGACTTTCCACTCGGCCCAGGTAGTTTCACCAGTTTGTAAAATCCGAAATACCTTGTTCACTTCAACCTCGCCAGTCCCCAAAACCACTTCACTCACGACGAAACCGTCTCGTTCGTACAGTCTTCACAGACTCACAAGTCGCAAACCCTCCCCGTCGTCTCATCCGCGACACTGAGCGCCGCCGCCGCGACGAGCCAGCGACGGTCGACCGCTCTGCCACCTGGCGGCGACGGCGGGAACCACAGCGCCGGCGGCAAGGCAGCTGCTCCGTGGCAGCCTTGCGCCTCCGCTGGCCGGTGCCGCCTCAAAGGGCGACGGGCCCAGGAGCGTGCCTGGCTTGCGACAGGGGATGAAAGGTTTGGGAGGCGCGCAGGATCTCCGTTATCAGATGGGAGCTGGCCAGAGTGTAGTAGGCCGCGGCCCGAAACGGTGCCGCGGGAGGGGAACGCGCTCTCTGCTGACCGGACCGGAGGGCTACATGGCTAAGGGGTAATGTGCGGCCTTCGATTGGCCGTCATTAGTGCGTGATGCAGCAATTGCGCCAAACTGCCCTAGGTGCTTGCTCTTGGTTAAATTATTCATTAAAGGAAAAATAATGATCAATTTATTTTTGCACAAAATGCAAGAACCTATCGAAAAACGATCGTTTATCAAACGTTTATCCAACCACCAGAGCAGGCTGTAGAATATTCAGCCGTAGACCCAACCGTCTCGCGAGTGATGACCATGATTGACACGTTCCAAATGAGAGAGGGTGTTGACCGATCTGATATCTCAAGGCCGACGAATTAGACCCGAGATACACCGATCAAACGGTCATCTAACGCGCGGAAGACAAGAAAACGGCGCTGTTATCAGACAAACGATGCCAAATACATCCCAAGATACAAAGCGTCGTTGTTGTAAGGAAGTTTTTTAAAAACATACAAAATGAAAATTTTCACCATTGACTTTTTCTCACTAAAAAAAAACTGAAACAAAAACTCAGCCACTGACACGGTGTTTTTCAAACTCATTAAATCAGTTTTGACATTGACCTTTTCAGAATGCGATCACCCGGGCATGTTACAATTAGCATCGTATCTCTGATGCCGGTGGCGGTGGACGGGGTCCTGCTCCGATGGGCGCGTCTTGGGCCGGAGGGGATGGTTTCAGGTTAGGTACAGTTCCGGGCCAGGTCGTCTGTGAACGCTCTCCGGCCGCGGGAGTGGCTGATTGGCGGGCCGTCATTACAGAGTGATGGATCGGAGGGCGCGGACAGAGGGGAGAGGGAGGGAGAGGGGAGAGGGACTGGCGAGAGGGGAGATGAAGGGGACGGTTCGCCTCACCGGGCTCACAAACATCTAGCAGGATAGCTCAATCAGGCGGCTAGAATGCAAAACTGACAAGTGACAGGGTTACAAGTTGACGCTTTTCTTGGAGTGTTAACCCTCGCCCCGTTGGGGGGGGCCATTTTGGCCCCCCCCTGTGGTTTTTCCTGAATAGCATGAAAACGGCGGCGCGCAGCGCCGCCAAATTTTCAGTACCTTCCCGGGCATCAATTTGACACCTTCACACCAAATTTCAAGTCTTAGGTCACCTTAGGTCAGGAGTTATTGAGGTCAAACTGAGGTCATGTTCGAGCAAAAATGGGCAAAAAACATGCAATCTTGAAACGCTCACCAAATCTACAGTTATCAAGCAGTTTCAAAGTTCTTTATATGGTCTAGTAGACAAAAAGCGGCGCTACAAAACTGCTATCTCGGATTTTCAAAATTTTTGGTTTTTGACCAAAAAAAAATCAAAAAATTGATTTTTTTAGAAAAACTTTGAAAAAATCCAAAATTTTCCAAATTTCGAAAAAACCGGAATATATGTGATAGTCCCAGCGCTCTTCTATATACATACCAAATTCAGATCGATATCTCGTTTTTTGGCCAAATTATAGCGAAAAAACTATTCAAAAATGATGACGTCAAATTTTTGAACTCAATTTTTAGCAATTCTAGACCACGTACGGCAAACAAAGACCACCATTGAACTCCCCGTGACGAGCTGCATCGATTCGATACCCATTTTATGCAAAAATATTAACTTTGAAATTTGACCTAATTTGACCTGACATTGACCTGACCTTGACCTGACCTTGACCAAAACGTGATCTAAGCTGGCCCCAAAGGCTGCCTGACCCTATAATCGCATTTGTCATGTAAAATGGACCATAAAACATGTATCACACGACACTTTCATATTGTGACCCCCCCGTGACCTGACCTCTGTGACCTGACCTGGTATCAGTGACCTCAAATAGCAAAATATGTGTTTGAAGAACATTTCCCCATCGATGATTTTCAATGAAATGCATTTTACTCGATTTTACAACGCATTTCTTGAAGTGCCTGTAAACGGTGAAAATTGGACCTTTGACCTGACCTGTGACGTCATCGGTTTGACCTAGGTCAATAAAATTGGGTCACAAGGTAGTTCCCCGTTGGGGCTATCCAACGCCGTTACCGCTTGTCGCTATGTTGCGTGGTTCTCGAGATCTTAGGGGGGGGCCAAAATGGCCCCCCCCCCAACCGGGCGCGTTGCTCGGCAGAGCCCAACGGGGCGCGGGTTAAAATTCAAAGATTTTATTATACGAACGACTTCCAGCACGAACTTACCACTAACGGAACGGAAGCATCAGAAAACGCCGAGCGCGGATGACCTCACGCAAAACGGGCCTCGTCTCGACAGTTCCCGAATATACAATTAATTGACCGGTACCCATTAGGATCGTCAACATCAGCATAATATGCAGCCGATAAGCAGATGCCGGCGGGATCTGAATAATCGGTCCATCAGCCGAGCGCCGGCTCGATTTGGCACCATTAGCGGTCGGCGAGCGACGATTACAGGTCGCCGAGCCAGAACAGGTACGGCACCGTACCACGCGCGCCGGTACCGTACTCTGTGCGATGTAGGACGAGGGAAAAACGATGAATACCTAGAGGTGAACGAGAGGCAGCCGAGCGCTGGACGAGCGATGAATCAACGGCTCATCAGTGCAGTTATTTCGGCACCATTCTGGCAGGGCAACAGGCACTAAGTAACTAGGCGAGTAGGTGTCTCCGTCCTGCTCCTAATTATCCCAAACACCAGCTCATTATACTACTGATCTGTAGATTCGTGTCAAAGCGATATCCACCATTGGTCGAGGTGTGGCGGCGAGAGACGCGACGCGGCGGTGCGGTTTCGGAAACTGATGTCCTTTAATGTCCGCAAGTATCAGGCAGATGGTATCTGAGCTCCGACTAAGGTGTCTCCGCCGCCACAGCTGAGTCTCAGGTGTCTGTCCTGTCGCCGCGTGCTATCGGTGACCTAATCGTCACCGATCGGTGATAGTTTGGGTATCGGTGACCGCGCACGGTGAGATGAGAACAGATCGGGTCGGGGGCCCCTCACCGCTGCCGCTGCGGTTAGCGCGGTACGCCGCAGGCCCGCAACCTATGGAAAGCAGAACAGACGGATCGATGCCAGCGAGACTCCCATGCAATCATGGTCTCCGAACCGACAGACAGAGTACTAAAACGTGCCAGAGGCAAGGTTAACTGATTCCGAGAAGCGTTTACTTGTCTGAGATCTAAGGTAATTTTCTGGCGTTTAATTGACAGGAATGAGAGCTGTCGGAGCGCAGGTGACGGCCTAACTTCGAGGTGGAACTGATTGGATTGTTAATTGACAGCAGCTCTGGCTATTTAGACAAGAGCTGATCACTATCACAACTTGTTCAGGGTGGTTAGTAAGACCCAGACAAAAATTAAGGACAATCTCTAAACGTCTTCGGTCTTTTTTATGAGGATACTTCAGTTAGAAACACACACTCATAACCTCAAGACATTTTATCGTTAACGTTTGATACTGCCTGTTCGTTTTGTTCATTACGTTTATCCATTTTGAACGCTCGACCGAAGTTCATTGAGTGCTCTGCGTGCAGATAGATAAATGAATGATGATTGCGGAGCTGGCGTTAATTTGATGGTCACGAACAGCACGCCGCCAACAACTGATCCCTGGTGCACACCCACCAGACTTCCCTCACGTAACGGACCCTGCTGCCAAACAGGGAGAGCCGACCGACACTTCGGACCATCTGGAGCGCTGGCCTGTCACTTACGAGCGCGCCACCCCTGGAGAACGACTTCACCCGACACCCGAGCAACCGACGTCTCAGCCTTCGCGTGTCACTGGTGGGGCGCCACCCCACCCCGGAGCAGCCCATCCATCATGGGTTACCGAGGCGGCGCCGGTGACAGGCGAGCTGAACTGAGACGACCCAGGGAAGGAACTGCTCTGTGTACTGTGTAGTGTGTACTGCTTTGGCCGAGCACCGGAGAAGGGAGGGTAAGGGAGCCGCGAGGGTGGGTCAGATTTCACCCGAAGGCATCACATGACATGTCAATCACCACAGAGGCGCGCACCCCTCGAGGGCGTCAGATGACGACCGATGACGTCTCTCGGATGACGTCCACTGACGTCTCTCAGATGACGTCCGCTGACGGTCGAGCCAACACGAGAAGATCACGTGACAGAATCGAGAGTCAGGACACCTGGTCAGTGCAGTGGCTGACTTGAATCGCCCCGATGGCCACCGCGAGTCTCTCCTGGGATGAGCCGGCGGAATGGCGGCAGAATGGAGGTGCCGCCGGCGGCGGATCTGGGCGGCGGTAGCGGCGGCGGCTGACGTGTGACGTGGGAGGTCCCCGACAGCCCATCGGATTCAGCGCTCTGATCGATGGATTAATATCACCGTCAGAGCAGGCCCGTATCGGTACTGAGCGATGACCTACTCACAGTCCGTTCATCCGCCGCCGGCGCCGGAGTCGAGAGAAACGCGTGACTCGACACATCAGCTGACTTGGATAGGGTAGCCATTTGGGCGATTGATGGGGAATAAAATGGGCTGGTTATAGTTCATCGCAGATGCTATCGTGAGGTCAAGGAACAGAGAGAAATTATGTTCCGATTTGACCTGAGGAGACAGACGAGGAACCGGAACAATATTCGCGAATCATCTCCCTGAACTTTAGGTTTCAAAGGGGCTACCCCGCCGATACAAGCATTGTGCCAAGACCATAAAGTTTGAGTCCAATATTTGATGAAGTCCAATCATGCAGCATTACGCTTCAG